TTTGGGGAAAAATGGGGGGGGAACCCCCAAGCCACATGTACCCCCCCTTTCGGGGCCTTCCCGGAAAAGGGGCCGTTTTTGGCTCCAATTTTTTTGGACTTTGGCAGTGGAATTTTCCCTTTTTGGAAATGGGGCCCCCCCACATTTATTGCCCCGCACCCTTCCGGGGTTCTGGCCCCAACGCCCCCGTTTTCCCTGAAAGTTTTGGCCGGGGGGTTTAAGGGCCACGGGGTTTGGGGTTTGGGTGTACCCCCCCCCCCAACCCCCCCGGGGTTTAAAGATTTGGCAAATTTTTTCGGGGCCATTTTGTGTAACCCAGCCAAAAATTTCCGGGTGGAAGAAAAGGGGGAGGAAAAAAAAGTGGGGGGGTGGGGGGGGGGTTCCCCCCCCTCCCCCCCCCCCCCCCCCCCCGCCCCCCATGCCACCAGGGTTCACGACGGGGTTACCGGAGTGACGAGTGGACCCAACTGACTGTAAATTTTTCCGTGTCATTTTCTGTTAACCATGCAACAGACTCCCGGCAGCAGGTGTATAGGGTGCGCATTGGTTCGTGCGGCGCCGGCTGCTTCATCTACCTGCCTTGTCGCACGCAGAGGTATTGCTGTACCTCTACGCTAACGTTCACGTCGAGGCGACAGCGGCCGTGGCGAGAGCTGCCACTACGAACAAGCGCTAACCCTGCCGACAGCAAGAAGTGTACCATGCGACTTCGTGCGCTGATTCCTTGAGCTCGACATGTCCACACCACGGAACGGGGGCCAAAAGCCAGCACCACTGCTACTACTCCAAACGGGGATACAACAAGGGTGCGGCGGGGGGGCGAGGGGGGTAGCTCTCCCTTCATAAGGGGGTCAATCAAGACTAACCTCCCGTTCCAGATCCCGCTCCACCGGTTCCTGGGGGTCCCGCGACGGTTTGGGGGGGGGGGGTCGTAATACTCCCCATCACTAATGGGTCATCAATCAAAACTAACCTTCCGCTCCAGGTCCCGCTCCACCAGTTCCTAAGGTTGTGCTTGCGGGCGGACACGTACGCCACCAGGCCTCCGCCGCCGTCATTCTCGAACACACAGGCGGCGGATCTGTCGAAAGAAAGGGGTTCAGGGGAGGGAGGGTGTCGAGGTGGTGTACTCTTACTATGTTTTTCATGCCTTAGTGGTTAGACAAATGACCACGCGTCTCCTCGAGAGGACGGACGGACGGACGGACGGACGGGGGGGGCACATAAAATCAAGCCGAAAGTTCGCCTAAAATGCGTTTCATGCCAAACTCTTGACCCACAGGCGGCGGAGTTCGAGGACCTGTGCATATGGGGCGTGTTATACTAATTCCGCCGCACACTGCAGTTGTTGCGGTAGCCGTTTACACTGCACACGCGCGGAGAAGGGCGACTTTGGCAGGAAAGACCACAGTTTCGAAAACCGCATAGAACGGGTGCCTGATCGACCACGTACAAGCGACGGCAGACCTGGCCCGAAGGAGCTTTCCAGCACCAACGGGTATCGTCTACATGGCGTCGGCGACCTCCATTCTTACCGTCCATTGATGGGGGTTGTAAAATCTATCACCGTGGGGGAGCGTTCATTATGCCCCCCATCAAGCGATTTACGCTAGGTAGCTACCGGTGCTACACTATAGTAGCACCGTTCTCTGTGTCAGGCGATCGCAAGCACCCCTGTAACCTTGGCTGCCGCCCAATGAACGGAAAATTTGGGAGGATGTTTCAAGTACACGCGGAGAGCTTGATTTCCAGACACAAAAACGTATTTTCGTTCTTCTACGAGACACCGACCGACCCAAACCAAGACCGCTCCGTCCTCACTTTTCGGCGACTGAGAAGTGGCTGGCTCGGTATTCCTCCAGCGCCTCCTGCAACGCCTGTCGCTGCTCCTCCAGCGCCGGGTCTGCGGCGGCCTCCTCGGCGTCGCCTACCGCTGGCCCCTGCCGCCACATACGCCACGCCATGTCACAAGAATGCGAACAAAAAGTCGACACGGGCGAGCGAAAAGGGGAGGAGGCCGGGGGGGGGGGGGGGGGGGAAAGGGGCAAAAGGGTTGGGGGTGGGTTGGTCGGGGGGGGGGAAACCCCAAAAACCCCGGG